TTCTTACTTTATTTCTTTGCATCGTTACTATTTCAGGCGACTTCAGATTTTCCTCACTTGCTTATATATGGTCCTTCAGGTGCAGGAAAAAAGACGTGTATTTCTTGCCTATTAGAAGAGTTATATGGTCCAGGCGTTCGAAAGGTATTGGTTTTATAATTGCGTAACTTTCTTGTTAATAATGAAGTAAGTAATGATGTAAGTGAAAATACATCACAGAGCTTACATCACAGAGCTTTGATCACGTATTGGAAAAATTTCTGATTAGATAACTCGTAATCACCAACACTTATATTTCCATATTTGGCTAAATATGAGAAACTCATAGTAGTGTATTACGTCACAACAAGATAGATATATATATATACTGTACCTTAGACTTCTACGTGTTGGTCATTTCTTTTCTCTTGACAAGTTTTCACTGTTTTCACCCGCTGTAATGTCTACTTTAGAAATTCCTTTTTTTGTTCGAATTGGTAAGGGCTATCTTTTATGTACATTTTTTGGAGTAAAAGAATTATGGTATTCATATATATTAAATTTTGTAGATAAAGCGATCTCTTCTTATTTCGAAAATAAACCAACCTTATGGTCGGATGATAGCTTCCTCGAAAAATTGAAGCCGTTAATTATGGAAGACGAGGTTGCTGAACTTTCATCGGTTTGGCGAAAATGATTTTTGACGGCACTGAAGGAAATAAATAACGATGATATGAAAGATGAACAAGCGCGATATATTGCAGACCTTTTAAGTAATCAGGTATCTTTTCTTAGTATATTAAGCACAACACAGGGGGGGTGTTGTTCCTCTAGCACACAAGAGCTTGGAGATATTATTTCTCCTAAAACTGTGTATGGGGTGTCGTTCCTCGTGTCATTGCATAAACCCAGGGGGGTGTCATCCTTTGTTTCTTGCAAACAGTCCTATAGGGGTGTCGTTCTTCTTTGGACTCCTGGGGGGTGTCGTCCTTTGTTTCTTGCAAACAGTCCTATAGAGGTGTCGTTCTTCTTTGGACTCCTGGGGGGGTGTCGTCCTTTGTTTCTTGCAAACAGTCCTATAGGGGTGTCGTTCTTCTTTGGACTCCTGGGGGTATCGTTCCTAGTGCAACAAAATTGCTAATAGACCTATCTTTTTATTAAGAAATTAACCGCAACCAATGCAAGCTTTTGGAAAAAGCTAAAAATGGAAAAGAATCGCAAGCTTTCTGAAGCTAATCTCCATCATAAAAAGGTTTGTACTTTGAATTATACAAATTGAATCAGGTTATATTTATTAATAACTTTTTTATAGTCTATATTCATATGCAACTCGCAGATTGAAGCGTTAGGTGTGTTGAAATTAGCATGAACATTGCAGACTATTCACGAGCTTGACCAATATATTAATACAAATAGTAAGGATACCACGGTATGTTAGCTAAGCTGTATATCCTGGCATGGTTTATATAAACTAATGGCTAATTAGATTATCGCTTCCTTCTAGATGAATATTCTTGAAATTGCCAAACCCGCTAAATGTTCTGAGCAAGATGATGTAAACATTATAAATTTCTTCATGATATGATTCAATCATTGTAATATACTAACAATAATTTAATGATATTTGTATTGCAGGAATCTACAAAATCTGATGAAGGAACCATTGGTACGAAAAATTTTATATAAGGTTTTATTATTAATCTTTATTTAACTAATAAAAAATAATTTAATTGGTTGAACTATCTAGCTAAATTGTTGGCACAAATATTACAAAATAAATTTGAAAAAGCTGGTAGTTTAGCGCAAAATGAAGATCAAAGATTATCGTTAAAGAAATGTCAATCAGAAATTGATTTTACGCAAGATGAAGATCAAAAATTATTATTAAAGAAACACCAATTAGAAATCGAAGAGTCAGAATTACCTAAATCGAAAAAATTTGAAGCTGTAACTGATTCTACGCAAAATGAAGATCAAGGGATATTGAAAGAATTAACTGATTTTACGCAAGATGAAGATCGAAGATTGTCATTAAGGGAACATCAGTTATCAATCGAAGAACGCGAAATAAAACTTGAACGCAAAAGAATAGAACTAATGAAATTAAAAAAAAGCTTAATATAGACTAGTCATTAGAAATATAAATTAGTTATTAAATCAGTAGCAGAAATTCTATGATTCTTAAAGTAGTTTGCGAACCATCTTTGCTAATCATCTTTGCTCTAATAATATAAATAAAAGAAAGCTTGCATAGTATTGCACATTTTAAGTGATTTGTTCACATGATCTAACTTTAAAATTTACATTTGTCCAGATTCTTTAGGTGTCAGAACTTAATTTTTCAGTGAATATTAAAAAATTAGGTATTATATTTTGTTTACAATTAACAAGGAACATAATTAAACATGATGTTGAGCCAAGTTTGCCTGATGTCATGTGGTAAATATGAAGACTCAATTATTATGCATAAAAAATTTTATTGATACACGCAAAAAATAAATACAGTATAATGGTTCAGAATGTAAGCCTGTTTTATACAGATTATAATGCATAATTATTTTTTTGAATAATAATCCTCTATCCTAGTCTCTTCTCTTCTGGCTCATCATTCACGTATGCTCTATTCTTTAACAACCCAATGATTATGCCAAGAACCTTCCTTACATACTTTTGTATTCTTCTTCGATACTAAAGGCACAGTATATGTTGTGCTGAACGTTATTGATAATTAGCTGGTAAATTTCATACTTCTATTGGTTGGAAGTGAGAAGAGTCTTTATGAATATCATATGACATAACATGTATTACGAGTTAAAACTCCCATAATAATAACTGATCATAAATAAAAAAGAGAAAATTAATTTTTTGCTAATCGCTTATATTGCATATAACACAGTAGACCATAATTTCGTATATAACATTATTAGCCGTAAATCCTGCTTCTATTAGTTGCAAATAAGAAGAATCTTTACGATTATCATATAATACAGTATGCTACCATATTTTCTTACCTGGCTTATTAATTCAACCCTTACCATAGTTCCGTAATTATAAATAGGCTATCATGGATTTTTTTTCACCTTAATGATATCCAGAAATCGATCACATTACTTCTAATGAGTTTAGGTCATAGAGTGACTCCCCATCTTTTCTCTGAACCTCTCTGGAGAGCTGAACCTTGTTTGGCTTGCAAAAAGGAAATCATAAACTCACATGCGATGTTCCAATGTGATTATACTTTTCACATTAATTGTTGCAATACATCTTCAGTCTGCAAAGAACAATGTTCAGAGTGTTAAAGCAATGTTATCGAACAGCTCAGTTGGAAAAATATGAGTAGAGAAGAAAGATTGTTAGCTTTTATACATGAAGTGTCAACTGAAGTGATAGAAATTGATAGCAATTCATCAGAAGCAATTCATCAGAAGTAATCCCTCAGGACCAGCCCTTAATGATTTTACGAAAATTATCTCAAAGAGTCAGCAAGGCTGATTCTAATATCATCTATTGCTATTATGAATTTGGCTTAACACTAACCCTTCGTCTCAATGAATTAATAGGGAAAGGGCAGAAAAGGGTACAACATACATTAAATATGAAGATTCAAAGATATTTACCAGCTGGTACTTCTCTAGCTATGACAAAGAATAAAATTAAAAAGGTTAAAAAAATGGTTAAAATTTTTAGTGATGATTCATCTAGAATTCAATTTGTTGTTCATTTTCTGTAGATCAGCTTTCAACTTTTAATGATGATGATATTAACTTCATAAAATCAAAATTATCAAAGCCTGTGACATTATGAATATGCAAAACTCCTCAAGTGTTTTATTATGTCTTTTTTATATCCTTTTATGTCTTTTTATGTTTTTTTATGTCTTTTTATGTCTTTATATCTTTATGTTATATATACAATATCCTATAAAAATTTGCATATATTTTTTTCATTATTTTAAATATGTTAAATATGTTTTAAATATATTTTGTATACGTTTTTTGAAATTCTGTATTAAATTTCCTTATATTTTATAAGGAATTATTTTTTAGCATTTTTTTTATAAAAATTGATATTTAAGAAATTGTTAATTAATAATATATAAAAATAATAAAAAAAATTTATATTTTATTACATTAAAAATTATAAGGACTTTAAAAAAAATTATAAGAATTTTACAAAGAAATTATAAGGATTTCACGAAAAAATTATAAGGATTTTACATAAATTATATGTAAATTATACATTTATTAACGAAAAATTTATACATTATTAACAAAAAAATCATATATTTTTTAATAAATTATATAATTTATAAAATAGATATTTATTTATAGTCAACTCTTATTATAACGAACTTTATATCCTAGACTTCAACTTTGCTATAAGACTATAGTGAAGATTTTAAAAGATTTGATTGGTCAATTTACTATAACAAGAGTATTTTATTATATTTATTCAAAAAATTCATTATATCAAGAGTTAACTGTACTACTATTATAAATAGTAATCAGATTGTATAATGAGATCATTAATAACTTATAACCAAAATTTGTTTCCAGCCAATATTTGGTATGAACTGAACTGAAATAAAATACGTAACTTAAAAGTATTTAGAATTGCTTATTAAAATTCATTTAATTCATGTAAATATTATATTCTTTTTATAATTAAAAAAATCTAACTTACCTTTGTAAACTAGTCTGGATCTTAAAGTATTAAATCAAGATAAGTTCTAACAGATTTTTTAGTATTTTTTTATTTTAATTTTATCTTAAAATAAAATTAATATAACTTACCTTTGTAGACTGATCTAGAATTTATAAACCTTTAAAATATTTTAATTAGTCTTTTTTCTTTTTTTTTATAATGATAAAAAAACTAACAATCCAAATCACATCTCTATTTATAAGAACTTACCTTCAAATTCTAAAGCTGAAGAACTCTAGAACTTACAAAAAGATAAGCATTAGTTATTTTTCTTTTTTATTTTTTTTTTAAAAATAATTTCTTACCTTTTTCTTTTTCAATAAGAATTTACCTCTAAATTCTAAAAATAATTTTTTTTTTAAAATGATTAATTTTAGTTTTATTTTTTTTTTATTATTTTGATTTAAATAAAATAATATATAATTTTACAATATAATTTAAAACTAGCAATTCTACCTAAGTGATATTTTAAATAATTTCACGATAAAAAAGATAAAATTTTAAAGATAATTTAAGTTGATTTGGTTGGGATATAATAATAGACAATTTTTTTTATCTCCTATAGGTAATTAAACCTTAGTATTACCAAAAATTAATTCAAAATTTGCTTATAAATACTTTCTTCAAAATTGACTTTAGATCTGCTCAAGATCTGAAGATCTTATTAACTCTTAAAGTTATTTTATCTTTCATTGATCCAATTGTGATAAATTTAGCTTTATTTGAAGCCCTTTTAAAATAGTATCTAATTATCTTGAATTGATATTTCTATAACCTTTAGATCAAATGATCACTTCATTTAAGAATTTTAAGAATTTGCAGTTAAATAATTAATTTTGAATACTTGTAAGTAATTCTATTTTCTTACATATTGATATACAATTTTTCATCTCCATTAGATTTCCAGATAGTGAAATTAGTATTTGGCATTATTACTTTTTAGATAGTTCCTTTTGCTTCAGTTCTGGCAGTTATACTTACTTGAGATTCTTCTGTGATGAACCTCAAAATAATTGCTTTCAGTTATTTCTAAATAACTCTGAATTGTATGATTAGATCAGAAAAAAGGATCAATACTAACTCTCATCTACAGCTATCATACCAGAAACTAGAGCAAATAATTATATCAAAAACACTTCTCATGTTCTAAAAAATAATAAAAGAACTCAACAAAAAAATAGTGCCAGACATTTTACTAGCTCTCTTATAGAAACAAATGAATAAACTTTATTAGAAACTCCTTTCACAAACAATAAAAAACAAAAAATAACTACAGAAACTATGGAAATTTCTTCTCCAAAAGTCATTAACAAAGTTACAGTCACACCTCGATATAACGAAGTTGCCGATCCAGCCGATCAGGACTTCGTTATAAGAATCTTCGTTAACGCT